TTTTAGTGCACGGTACGGATTCCCTATACAATACACTAATAATAGTAATAGTGATGTGTTTCTCTCATCCCCGATTCTTGATATTTGCTGCAAAGGAATTCATTGCTTCGCTGAATATTACGTTGATAACGATTTCTCATGACATCATGACTAGCTGACTAGCGTTCATTGCAAGATTCGATGGAAGCGTTGTTATCATTCTGATGTAATGGTAACATTGGCTGATCATTGATACGTTTCCGCAAATACCATATGTTTTCTTAGTGATAATTGGTAGAGAAAAGCCGAATGATTGGGTGAATATAACCATTACAAGCTATAAACGAGCCCTGTTTTTAATTAAAGATTAATGAAACAATTAGGTTTGTTAACTTAATTCGAACAAGATCACAAGAACTGATTAAAAGCAATAGATAACGAAATAATCGGATTGCTAAGCATCAACATCAACTACAGGATGACTTATATAATATATTATATATTCTCTCAGTCCGTTTAGTCGAGGCATTTACATGACAGAAGTTCCCTTTCAAAAATAACACATCACTCAATTAAGCCTTAGGATAACATATAGATGTGGGACGACTATTGACACGAGTATATATTTCATGTTTAGATACTACTAACCTTGAAATTTTGTGGCATTTCAAGTTACGAACTGTTAGGCCAAGTTGTTTTAATCCCCATTATCTATATGTTATCGTACGAACTTGTGTGCCAAGCGATGTGCTGGACATGAGAGACGAATGATCGTCTTTCGATTGCCTTACAAGGGCATCTGCTTTTTACGGTTTAAAAATTATTTTCAGCTCAGAAAGAGACGAATAGCGATTACCGCAGAAAGTATTTGTAATAATAAAAACAGGCAAGTATCGCATGCGATATTTCGAAAACGAAATAAATTTTCATGCACTACGTTAGCATAATCGCGATCTAAACGTTTCCAGGTGGGGCTTTCAAAAGTTCATCTATTTCTCTTATGGTTTAAAGGCAAACCCAATAAAACAGTTAAGTCGGTTAAGTTTTGATTTAAATATTTTTCACTTTTATTGTTATTTTGTTAATAATACATTTGTTTTTGTTTGTTTTATTTTTTGTTTTTTTTATTTATTTATTTATTATTATTATTATTATTATTACAATTTTTTTTTGTTTTTTTTTTTTTTTTTTTCTAAAAAAAAATCGAAAAGGAGCACATACATACATAAATATATTAATATTGCAATTACTTTAATTACGTTATTATTGTAGAGAAGTTTAAAACTTTTGAAATATTTTTTTTGTTTTTTTTGTTTTTTGTGTTTTTTCTGTTTTGATTTTTTTTGATAGAGATTTATGATTATATTAGCTTACAAAATATTTACAGAGATATGCAGGTAATATGCATACATGCAGGTAACCTCAAAATCAAGAGCGGCTATAGTCAGTCAGTGTTTCAATTTAGATGAATGGGAAAAGTTTCTTTATGTGAAACATTTAATCGCTGGTAGTGTATTTGGAAATTTTAAATGATATGGATTTACAGTAAAATTTCTGGGATTTTTTGAGACTAAATGATTGCGACTATCCAGAAATCGATTGGATTGCTTTTAGAAATAAGTAAAAACACCATAACAAGAAAATTCGAAACTCAAGTTGCAATTATTATAGAAAGCTAGTCAAGCGGAATAGAGTAGCGCTTGGTTAGAAGTTGATGCCATCAGGAATTAATTAGGATCGGAAACCGCAGATCATATTCTTTACTGTATAGCGTAATTTTGGAAAGTGCACAGAATGAGGAAGTCTTCCAGTCTTCTGCTAATGCTTGTAATAAATTAAAAGACTGCGTCCAAAATTGCATGAAAATTGTTCCCGTCCGTTCTTCTTATTTCTAAGTTTCCAAACCACCATAATATGAATGGGAACAGTCGCTTACAATTCAAAATCTTATTTAACATATGAAAGTCACGTATATATATATATATATATGCTATTCTCAATACATTTTACACCTATTAGGTTAAGGTTGCGCTTATCGAATAAGACGTAAGAACGCATGTGAAGTTCACGATGAGCTTTCCTTTACGATTTTGTCTTCATGGCTAATCATAACGGGGATTGCTAGGGCTCCTACCCTCCCCAATGTAATCGGTGTTATACATTGAAATATATTATGCACACTTTTTGATACTTAAAAGCATTGAGGTTACCCGTGCGATCTTAAGGAGCTACAAAAAATATTTCTTATATGTTCTTTTTTTTTCGTTTTTTTTTTAATTTCATTCATAACACAACTAACTATTTTTTAGCTTTTTTTTCTTTTTCATTATTAACATTGATTAATTATCTTTATTAAACTACTACTATATAGTACAAAATATGTTACAATTTCTTCTTCTTCTATTTTTTTTTTTTTTTTATTTCCCATATATACTTGAAAGAGTATAGAAATAGAAAAAACGAAAAATGATACAACAAAGAACAAAATGATAATTAAAAACAAAACAAAAAGGAAAATGTATATTCGATTTTAATCGAATTTTACGATACCCACCGCTTGCTTGTTCGCTTCTATAGTCTTCTCGCAAAAAGTCTATGGAAACGCAAACATCTTATTATTATAAAACTGTATATTTGCTTGAAAGAAAACACTCAAAACAATCTATTTGAAAAGTAACATATCAAACGTAACACATTCGACGATGTCCGTATTAATAAACCATTTGGTAAGTATATCTGATCTTTGAACGTAAATTGGCGATGGGAAAAAGGAAAAAGAATTGAACATATAGCTGGTTATTGCGATCGTGATTAACGGTGAGAAACATGTTCGGCAACCTCACACAGAGCCCTCTTTAAAGTGCTTGCTGTATTTATAGACGGAGTGTGTTAAGAAAAAAAAAAAGAAAAAAGAAAACAATTCAAGCTTCATGGGCTACGTATATTCGAATTTTTTTTTTTCTTGTTTTTTATGTTGATACACGTATCCCTGACATTTGTTGACATTATCAGGCATTTTGCATTTTTAATCTATTTTTGATAGACTTAAGGGGTAGCTGTAGTTCAACTATGCCCGGCTTAGAAGAAATCTGTTATGGAGACTCATTGAATCGCTATTTGAGAATTTGCTGAGCATTTCAATGTATCGGTTGGCTCATGCCATGCGGATTTTTTCTCGCACGTCATTGCTTGTTCCCAACTTTTTGTGGACGAAAACCACACGGTAATCATGCCGCAGGCACCGTATTCAGCCGATTTTGACTTCAACGACTTTTTCCTGTTATCAAAATTGAAAAGTCTCGTGAAAGAACGGAAATAAAGGCCACATCGCTGGAAGAAGTCAAGGCCATACCAACAAGAGCGTATCACAAGTGTTTCGAGGATTGAAAAAAACCGCAGGCACAAGTGTATTATATCAAAGGGCGATTACTTGGAAGTGGACAAGTTAAATATCGATAAATAAATAAATGTTTTTCGAGACAAAATAAAAAATCACTTTTTTTTTTTTGAACACCCGTCGTATGACTTTAATTTCTTTATCTTTTAACTTTGCTTTTCCCTATAATAAAATACAGCCACACCTATGTGACATATGCAGGCATATTGAGCAAAACTTACCTATAACATAGCGTACGTTCTTATACAAGAGTAATGGCGACTTAAACAACAACAAATAATATTAGACCTAAACTTATAAATATCAGATTATGCCAAAATTGTGGTCAAAATTTTTGAACAGATTTAGCCGGTTTTTGAACTTCATTTCAGTGAAGAGGAGACTGAAGCGATACAAGTGAAAAATTAATTTGTAATTTTAAGTAAAATTTTAAGTATCTCAACGTAATTGAAGCCAGCCATCAAAAAAGCGTAAATTGGTTCCTAGCCTTTGGGGAAATAAATATTTAGTTGAGTCTTGTTGCCTGAGTTTTAAATCTCGTCTAGAGACAGAGAAAGGGAAAAAATCTGCAGACATCTTTCATTCTTAAAGGCTATGTTCAGAGCTTGATATTTCCACGAAAAGGCTGACATACTGACACGAAAACGCTACACATATTGACTTACGTATCTAGCGTAGCTAAATCGCTTTTGTTACTTATGCTAAGTAGAATTTGTTTCTTTTTTTTTTATTTTTATTTCATACTTTTTAAGACCTCTGATGTTTCTATATGTGTTACAAGCATACTTGTCGTATCTATTTATACATCCTGGGAGTGGATACAAAAAAAAAAAAAAAAAAAAAAAAAAAAAAATAAAACGAAATAATAAAAACAATAAAAAATAAATTCCAGTTTTTAATTAGGAACTTATGTAATATGTACATCATTATATTTCATTAATACATTTTTCAAGAAAATTTTTATAAACGAAATAAAAGGAAAATAATTTCAAATATTTTCCCAGCTTTTCCTAAAGCCGTTTTTTTTTTTAAATCAATAATCATTTTTATAAATTCAGAATACAACGTTTTAGCGAAATAATAAAAAAAAAAAAAAAAAAAAAAAACGAACAAAAAGAAAAGAGAAAAATCGAAATGAGTGTAAATACAATAATAAAAATTTAATTAAATTATTTTATATATAGATAAATCATTTTTACAAAAACAACATTAAAAAATATTTATAAATTATGAAATAAAGGCCTACTGACATCATACACAACTTTTTACTGCTTTCCATGTGTAAATACATTTATATAATAAAAAATATGAATTAATGAATCAATCAATCAATCAATCAATCAATCGTTCAATTCTATCTATAATTGCAAAAGTAATATAAAATTTATGTTTCGATAAGAAATCTCTCCGTCTCTCAATCGTTTACTCTTTACAAAATCTTTTTGACTTTCTTATAAATGTTCTAAACACCTGTTACTAGAAAAATATGTATGTAAGCTTAGAGCTGCATTTCTGTTTTTTTTTTTTTATTTTTATTTTTTTTTTTTGTTCATGTTCTTGTTACTGGTTTCCTTTTCTTTTTCATTTTTTTTTCTCTTTTTTTTTTTTTGTTTTTTTTTTTGTGTTTTTTTTTTTTTTGTGTTTTTAATTAGGTACATTTTCTTTTTACACAAATATACAAACGTTCGTTTTCAAGGCGGCTTGATCTTAACTTTCTTTAAATATTTACCTTTAACTTTATGTCGTTCTATTATTTTCACTATTTTGCGTATTCTTCTCCGTTTGATGTATTGCGCTATTTAAGATCTTTTTATTTGGCACTCTAATAACAGTTTGCAGTTCTGGCGTATCTCTTTTTCGTAGTGTCTTCAGTTTCGTTTTTCTTACATTCGTATCATTCTTTTTATTATTACGATTGTAATATTCGATATCGGAGTCATGTTGATCCTTCTCATCGTAGGCGATATTGAATCTCGATTCATAATCAATTTCATAATTATGCCCCTCTTCTATATCATCATTTTCATCATCTTCCTCTTCTTCCTCATCTTCAACATAATTCTCGCCATCTATTTTAAGCAACGTACTAGAAGACGTAATACGGTTACGTCTTTTGCCAGCTGTGGTTGGTATTTTATTGTAACGTATCATTTTACGGGGAGGTTGATTACTAGAGCGCTAAAGAATTAAAAATAAATACATTTAAGCAATACATATACATATACATAATAAAATGAGAGAAGAGGACTCAAATTTTTTATAAAAAAAAAAATAAAAATAAAAAAAAATGTATGAAACTAAAGCAAAAAATATTTGAATGTAAGTCAAACAGATTTTTGAATTAAAAAAAAAATGAAATCACTTAAAGGCAATTAACGAAGCTCTTCGCTACCCAATATTTATACCCTACACTGCTTATGGTACAAGGTATAATAATCTTATACGAACGTACGTCGCATCCAGAAGGATTCAAGATAGATTCACTTTTTATTAAACCGATACACATGTCTGTCCTTCTGCCCATGTAAATTTGTCATTAAATCAAGCTATAGATGATCCGGATGAAATTCGGTACAATTCGAACGTGCTTCAAGCCAACGTTATTGAAAATGGTTCGGCTCAGTACAATTTATCAACAAATTCCCCTATATAACGTTTTATTTTGAAAATTCGTTATATGAAAAAAAAATCTGCAATTTTGCTGAATTGTCCTCGTATTTCGATATTTTATGTTTATATGAAAAATTTGCTTTAGTTGGAGATATTGTTTTGAAACCACTCTCACACAACCGTTTATACGAAAACTGAATTTTTTTGTGGCAAAAAGGCTTAATTTTCAATATTTCCGCAATACTAATTTGATACAGAAATCAATTTTACGCAATTTGGGTCCGATTTTAGAGATAGTAATGGTATATTAAGAGTGTCAATCACTTTCTGAATCGATTGAAGCTTGCCTGTTCGTCTGTCCATTTTGTTTTCTTGCGTTCAATCTCCAAGTCGAAATTTTTGAGATATTTGGGTGAAATTTTGATAAATCAACCTGCTTTGGCCCAAGTCCGAACTCTATTGAAAATAGTTTGATTTGGTCCACTTTGTCGACCACTCCCCATAAAATACCCTATGCCGAATTAGCAGATCCTTTCCTCACATTCCTATGTTTCGACGGTGTCAGAAGATCGGGAAAGGCCCTAAACATGACAAATCGTTCAGTTAAGTTCATTGATTTATAGAAGTACATCTGGTCGATGAATCATTTCATTTCACTTCATTTCACTTCGTTGACTGCCGGTATTGTATGCGACGAGCACTGTTCTATTAAAAACTTTGTTTATATAAAGCCGGTCGGAAGCAGTTTATTATGTTATATCGGAAAATTTTACGCTCTCGCGCCATTATATCTGGTTGGGAAAATCAGAAAGAAAATATCGAGTTAAGATTTTAGGTATCCAAGTCTATTTATGTACGTCAGTTATCACGGTAAGTAAGTTGCTCTTTGGCCATTACAAGCTTTATTGCTTATTAGACACTACATTGAACGTATACCCCTATGCGACTGCTTCATTCGCGGTGTAGATATTATGAATTTCTAGTGTAAATATATTTCCGGATTCGTTGCAAATATTTCGGATTGTGAACTTAACAATTGAACACGCGTTGAAGAATGATTGTATCCATGTCGACATATTTTTCATGCATTTAATCAAAAAAAAAAATATATATATATATATATATATATATATATATTCATGTAAGCAACTGAAAAGCTCGAGTACAGTGGCCAAAGATCGAAATGAGTATGTAAGGTCAAGATCTAAGAAATATGTCGAAAGAGTAATGTTTTTCTGAGCAAAATCCAAGTATTTATCCTAAAGAAGGTAAGTAAATAAAACACGTAAAAGCGTTTCAGCCGGGAAAGGCCGGATTGCGATAACATATAAACCCCACACCATTTCGTTTAATTCGATACTTTATTTATTTCTGTCAAAAATGTTAAATATCATTCTCACCTATCTCGTCACCCTGTAGCGGATGCGTACTCTTCATGGGCATCCCGATATAAGAAGGACGCCAAAGCCTTAACTGCCGTCATAAGATTAAATTCTTTTTGTCAAGAACATATTACTCTTTATCCATTTTCTTTATAAAGTATTGAAAATTAGACATTGCTGTCAATATAAAGGCTTAATTTTTAGAAGACCTTTACATGGCAAGCAAATACAAAAATGGATCTATGTGGTCCAAATATGGCAAAACAATATTGTATGCCAAAGCAGTATTTGAGACCAATTGCAGCCGTAAAACTCTAGAGGAAAAAACAAAAGAAAATTTTATATGGGAGCGGCGGATGTTCCAGAAAATTGCCCCAAAGCGTGATTTTCTATCGATCATTTTTTTTATATATATATGTGTAACTGTTTTTAGTGAAATCCGCCAATTGGACGAATAAACTAAAGATAAGAAGCTGAAATTTGTCACGCACACTCGTTCATCAATAAGGAATATATGGCTAATGCATACGTATGTTATGTTCACATACATACTCACAATGTAGAAAAAACTAAAACAAGGTCTAAAAACTCCGACAATTTTTTTCACAATTTTTGTCCGTAGCTTTCGAGTTCGTGAATATAATTTTCACAAAATTCGTACACAAACATTTGCCAGAACCAAGAGCGTGTTCAGTGCACAAATTGTCCCAATCGGTTTACCAATTGAATATGTGAGTTAACATGTGTACCATGCACCAATGCATTTCGCACTTATTGAGTTCTTTTTGATATCATTTCCTATTATTGTTGATTTTTATGTGACCAAATATGAATTATAATATTTTATGAATGGGGAAATTAAATCATATATATATATATATGCAGATATGATCGCATCAATAAATGCATAAATTCATTAAGTTTTCTTTCTTCAAAGAGCCTTGGTTTGTTGATGTGAACGTTAGTGGCATTAGTAAAAAGAGAAATTCTATTGACATTTTTTTTTTTTTTTTTTTTTTTTTTTTTTTTACCAAAGGATGAACAAGCAATGTATTCGAGCAATACATTGGATTATTACATCATAAATTGTAATTTTTTATTAAAATCTATATTCTTTAAGTAATTATAATTAATATTTGATGATAACATAAAACAAATTATTTCTTACTAGTTGTCTATGCAAATCTTTTCTTTCTATTGTGCATTTATTTATTTATTTTTTTTAAATTCCCTTGTCGAGATTATCTAATAAAAAAAAAAAAAAAAAAAAAAAAACTCAGGTCTATTTAATGATAAGATAGCATCCAATTTTCTTTGTTTACACATGGACACATTGATAAGTAGCGGCAAGTCCATATATTTTCATACGAATGCATATATGTGTGCATTTATATAATATATATATACATATACATATACATAATTTTCATTTCTATAACGTATCTTTTTCTTTTTTAGACAAGTGAATGCATTGGATGAGTTTTTATACTTCGTAAATTCTCTTATTTTCATCCTCCCAAGCCCTCGGTCCGTCCGTCTCTTGACTATATTTTCATAACTTTACTGTTGATGACATCAAGTGTTTCACAAATGACAAAAACGGTTCGTAGGCAATTTGTCAAATATGCAAAAATATATTCACACACGCATAGAGTCATGCAGGCATATAAATATGTATACATCTATATGCATATACATGCTTGAGTATAAGTTTAATCCTTCTTTTGCTCTTGCTTTCGGTATTCTTTTTAGTCAGCATATCTAATGAGTTTTTGTAGGGTCTTTAAGAGCACAGATCATATGACTTTAAATGTATTTCACATATACATACGCACGCTTTCGAATCGACCAAAATGAAATGGATAAGGGCAGGAAGAGAGAAAAACGATGACGATTATGCTTAACATGGATGCGTTCTAAACGTTTAAACGAGCACTCATTGTTAAACAGTAACACACACATATGAACATTTTTACATGTATACTTTTATATATATGTATGTATGTATTAATATATTTGATTTCTAGACGTTGTTATTTTAACCATTTTGTTGTTGTTGTTGTTATGTTTACCGTTTTCTTTGCGTTATATATATATTGTGCGTTTGTGTGCATGGGAGCCATTAAAAAAAACCGACTATACGTCATTTATTTAAATGACTTTAAATACGTGTTCCTTCCCTTCATGACTTTCGAAACGGTTTGCAAGCAACAGCATATACATATATTTGTATATGCTTATATAATATTATACATATGGAAATACGTAATTTAAAAAATATTGAGCCTTCTTGTTACAAACAAACAAATTAATTTGACAAGTACGGGATTTCAGCTTGTTGTAGTTGTATATTTGATAGTATTACAAGAGCATTGTGTATTAAGTACTACTACCACTAGGCAGGCAGGTGACTCGATTTAGCAGGCAAGGCAAGCTCAAAAAAAAAAAAATTTAATAACTCGAAGACTTGAGGATTTCTCGCTATTACGTTGTTTGTATTATATAACTTTACAATATGTCAGGTGAGTTTCAAAAGGGTCTTCTGAGAGATCTCAGAAACGGAATTATTGTGTTACTAAAAGCAGCTATCGCCAAGCCATGAAAGAAAATGATCTGAATATATGAGAGATGTTGTTAATAAAAAATCCAAATCGATCTGTCGAAAGGTATAAAACAATTAATATAAATAAATTAGTCTTAAAGCACTAGAATCTAGATCTAAGGTTATCGGCCTTATTGAAAGCTCTACCGCACTTGAGATTTGAAGCCATTGAAGACCAATGAGCTATTAGGTGCAATCCTTTGCCTACTCGTCCGCTCAGATGTACGTACCTGTTTGATGATATTCTAAATGTGTTAGGCGGTAGGGCCATGTCATAAATGAAGATAAAGACGCGAATTCTTTAATGCAAACTAACCTTTCAGATATTAATTACAACCCACCGTCAAAGTAACCAAATAATCGCAGCACCTCTTGTACAGATATATTATCCTCATGATTTGTTATTCGAAATTCGCCGTCAATTAAATTGATCAAAGACAGTCATCTCATTTTGACCGATACCCATCAAATATGATCAGATATAGAAATGATATTGATTAGACGGGTACAGTAATTCATAAAATTCGGCTTTGAAGTGCACAAGAAGAACACTTTTCCAACAACAATGAATGAACTGCTTATTAGACAAAGGAACCAAAATTGTTAAAGGATGCTTCTCTTTGCAGATTTTTGATATGACAAAGGTATTTGATTAACTTCCAATCGATACGAACAAACTTTTCGATTAATTTGAAAAATGATTTTCTAAAAATTTGCAGAAATAACGTACACTAGGTCTTGGGCGCGTTCTTGGCACCTTGGCGCTATCAAAGGAACAGCCAACATCCTTTGTAGATTTGATTCAAATTCTTAAGTTTTCACTTATTTTCAAGCATTTTGAATTTCGCATTTAAGGGTCAGAAGAGATGAGTATTTCAGCGATCTTAAGGAAAAATCATTTTAGAGAATTAGAAGAAAACTGGTACCGGGAAAAAACTATTTTTTTGAGCTTACGAAGAAAATCATCGCTTTTTTAAATATTATCGACTTACGAACTGTTTGCAGTTGATTACCTTTACCGAACAACGTAACGTAACATGTAAAGGCTTAATACATTTTAAACTGCATACGTAATTGCTAAACTACTGCGTGTACAAATAATAACAAGAAAATGTAGTTAAAGACATAAATGTATGTGTGTGCGTAAGTGTTATGTCTGACTGTTTGGTTTAAGAATATTCGTTGTTATTGTCTTTATGATGGCTTGTAGTTTGTCGTTATTGTTGATTGTTAGCAGTATTATAAACTTGAGACTGAAGATAGTGATGGATTGGCGCCGACTTAATGTTTCTTCTCTTTCGCAAATTCTCAGTTTTTCCTTTTCCTTTCCCTTTTTACTTTTTGCTGTTTTTTTTTTTTTTGTTTTATTATAAAAACTTTTTGCTATCATTCCTTCAGCAATGGCTTACAAACGATTAAATGTCTTACGCTTTTATTCTCAACACCATATTTTATATATTAAATGAAATGGAAGTCATCGGTTTCGATAGTAACTTCTTCAATTTAAACAATAAAAAAAAAAAAAAAAAAAAGGATTTTATAGAAAATTCTTAAGTATAACCGCAAACGCATTTGTCAGGCAAGAGTTTATAAAATAATCTACGAATATATATATATATGTGTAATGCTTCACCTGTAACACTGAATGGCATTTAGTTAACTTTCATATTTTCCTTGCATTCTTTTTCCGTGTGTGCTTCTTTCTCTGCATGTTTTCGACATTTAAACTTTTACTGACAACACAACACACAAAGCAAAAGCGATTGCTAAGGAATTTTACTCCAGAACTATTCACTCCATTCTCTAAATCTTTAGAATGAATGGGCTAATTTATTTGCGGTATGTTTGCTAGCATTTACACCATCGCCATGACTGCGAAGGAGTTACCAGATTGGCAGTAACATAATTACGGGGTTTTAATTGTGAATCGAATTTCCAAAATGGGGATTAAATTTCAAGGGCCTGATTGTTTACAATGGGATCAGTCAGTTGTGTTTCTAATATGTGAATTTAAACGATCCCATCTTTATTCCAGAACCGAGAACGGGTAAAAGTAATCACTTCGAATGTCAATTAGTACGCTATTATAAATTTACAATTTGGAAGTCGGATTTCTCATGTTCATGAGGTCAGTGCCTTGTAGACGTAGGTTTCGTCCAACGCGAGGACATTGTTCAATAAACCCAGTTGAAGGCGGTGAGGTGCCTCTACGTTGTTCTGTTCGAACAGACGCATTACCCGCTTACATGTGTTCTTAATTACGGTTTTTCTGGACTTGGAGGCTTTGGATGTTAGTGTTGCATGTAGGATAAGCAAGGGTCCGCCAATAATATCAATATCGAGAAATTGGAGCGATTAAAATTTTAGGGCGAATGAAATGCCTCTCAAGGTACGTGATCGAGCAGTGTAGTAATTCCGTTCGAAGTGAAAGATATAGAGCAACATATATAGGCGTCACCCGTGATGTCTCATGTGTGTAGGGCAGCAATGATTTGGGCTTCAGCTTTTATCATCTGCCGCAATTTTCCTATTCAAGACGCCGTTCCGTGAATGAATCTTGCCTTTGTATCAATCCCTTCGAAGATTGGAAGAATGTTTTGTATGAATGCTTCTTGTACTACGATCTTAAAGCTTTGGAAACTGTGGCAGTACGACAGGCAGACAATGATTTTGACATTAGTTTGGCTCTCTCCTCCACGTTTTTGTCAGGCGCCATATGCGAAGCAAAGAATCAGGTCAGAGTCTTATTCCTGGATTGCTTATGTTGACGGTTCTTAAGGCTTTTCTTATTTTTTTGGCAATGCTTGGACAAAAAGTTGCATTTTCTCATTCGTTACGTCTTCGGGCAAGGGGATGTTCAACTTGCACGACGGAAAACCACGCTAAACACCCACAGACATCTGACCAATAAATTATCTCAACTGGCCCCACTCTCATCCTAAATCGATTGAGCATTATAAACTCTTCTTCTTTTCTACCTATAAGATTCGTAACACTTCTGTACAAACATACAGTAGTTGGAGGACTCGCTATTTATCTCAAATCTTTATCACTGGTGACCCACTTGTACCCGCCATTGACCTCTAACATGTTGTTATTTAATTGAAAGAAATGTGATCTTTTTCCAACTATTTTACGGCCCTGAACTTTTTGCCATTCTTAGTAAGTATCACGTCCGATTTCAAGTTATCAGCGTTAGCCTGCAACACGCTTTTACCGGCTTCTAACTAAATGATAAACACATGGCATTCGATAAGAGGTACGCGATTTGCCGCCCAGCCCACCTTTAAAAATTTCATGCGAATCTTGAAAGACTTGAACTAGTTTGCATTATCATATTTAAACGCAATCAGTTCTTGCCAGCCATGCAAAGGTTACAGGAGGGGCGGGGTAAAGAAAGAGAATAGTGTTTGTAAACGTTAATCATCGATTGTGGTTTAAACACATGTCTATGTAATGAAAATCTCTCATAATACTTTTTTGCCAACCTAATATATTTATACATATAAATACGTAAATACAGATTACATGAGTTAAACAGTTGTCATCTTACCTGTAGTATAGCAAAGATAAGAGCAAATACAGTAACAATAAGTAGACAAGCAGCAACCGCAATTGCTGTTATAGTAGTTAAAGGTGAACCGACACGAGAGAAATAACTACCTAAGCTGCCACCAACAGATGTTTTACCATCGACATCATCTGCCAGATTACCGTAGAGGCCGCCGCTGTTGCCATAGGAACTACCAAATTGTTGTTGTTCAGCGGCTGCAGCAATACGTCGTTTGCCAGCAGGCGATGCATTCATACAACCACCTGTTGTCAATAAAATAATAGAATATGAAAGAGATTAAAATATATACATATATATATATATATATATACATAGATGCATACATACGCGCATAAGCAAAATAAATGAGTTTAGAGAATTTAATTAATTTTTATAGTTAGGTTTCATTACCTGTATCTTTGTCACAATGGCAACAGGATTGATCCTCGGGCGATGCATCGTTCGGGCAACAGGGCACACACTGATTATTTAAGCGATCCAAATGTAAAGGAAACGCACACGTTTTACATGAATATTGGCCGGGACCAGTGCAGGAGCGGCACGAGTCATGACATGTCTTACAAGTTTGAGTCGGCGAATCGTAATACTGAGATCCTAAGCATTCCATGCACAGACCACCGTCGAGCATGAAATGCGCTGGACAGGAAGTACAGGCTAAAGGACCGGCACCTTCAAAATATGCAAAATATTTTTTTTTTTTTATTATTTATTTCCTTATTTATTTATTTATTTATTTATTTATTTTTTTTTTTTTTGAAATTTTTATACCACAATTGAATTTAAACGGAGTTTGATAGTTGTGAGCGTAAAAACTTTACGGAATGTATTTTTTTTTTTTTTTTTTAGGATGAAAAGATATGTAGCGAACCGTTACAGTTTTATCAATTTTTTTCCATTTCTCTAATGTTTTGCGATTTCCCTTTAAAAATTATCAATTTCAGTTTTGATGTCGTAGACAACTATCGCTGCTTACGTTAGTGTAGCTGTAAAGACAAAGTTCAAATTATTTAACTTACCATTACAAGTTTTACAGTAATGATGACACTTTTGACAGCCAAACTCTGATTTGTAAAAACCTTCTGGACATTCTGGGTGACATTCGCCGCCAGCCAACTGCCAATCACTGGGACATTGAACACATTGATCACGTCGCGGACCACTGCAAGTGTGACAACTGAGGTAACATTTGGCGCAAGTACCGCGGTCGCTGTAGTAACTGCAGTTAGAGAGCAAAAAAACAAACAAGCAAAAAAACAATGAACAAAAGTAATGAATGAAAAGAGAGCAAACAAAATGAAAAATGTGAACTTTATTTAAAAGTTAATGGCGAAGTTTAGAAAGAACAAAACGATTTTAAAAAAGTTTTCACATTAAGCGAAAGGAAACTTTAATGTAATGCTATGTTAATAAAGAGGTTTATTTTTTCCTCCTATTTTTTTTTTTTTTTTTTTTTTTTTTTTTTTTTTGTTAATTTTTTGCTGTTTGTAATGTTTAGTTTGAAAAGAAATTGCAGACATTTTTCCTATTGTAACGAACTAAGAGAGCCAAAGCTAATGATGTTAATGATGCATATACGTATGTAAATGTTTGTGATAATTACCCATCAGCACAGGTGGTACGGCATTCGCCACTTTGTAATTGCAGACCTTTGGCACAAGCGGTACAATTCATACGTGAAACGCATTGTGTACAAGTGTGCAGACACTTGGCACATACACCAGCCTCCATGTAATAGCCGTCATCACAACTGCTCACACAACGGCTGTTTTGCAACAATAGACTCTGGGGACAGCTTAGACAATTTGATTCGGTGGGCCCATCACAAGTTTCACAAGTACTATGACAGGGATGACAATGACTGTTGTCATAGTATTCAGCTGTTAAAATAAAATGCAATCACGTAAATGGGAAAAGGATTTCAAATTAAGGTGAAAGTAAACGATCGCTTTGATTATAACAAATTTACCAAAAAAAAAAAAAAAAAAAAAAAAAAAAAAACTTTTCCCACGAATGTAACGAATTATGAAAGTAAATACTATGAAAAAAAAAAAACATTATTAAATTAATTAAACATTTTTTTAGTTTAGAAAAGGTAGCCGAAAAATATGCAGCAAATTTTACAATATTTTAACAACCAAAGGTAGACTTCTTTGAAACTATGAAATAAGTCGTTCATTTAATATAGTAGAAGGAAGTAAGGGAAGCTACCTCTCGCGCAGTCAAAACAAAGTGAAATAAAATTGAAAAGTTTTTGTTAACCGTACCGGAAAGGACTTATAGTGTGTGAAACAATGGTTTGTGTTTACACCTTCCATTTTTTTTGATTTTTTTTTTTTTTTTGCTTTTATTTCTAACGTAGGTCTAGCGAAAAGTAATATTTATCTAGCAACCAAACATGAATTTAGGAAGAAAAAATTACAAAAAAGGAAATATTTTATCAAATCAACAAAACTTGTTGTTGCCTTGCATCCTTCAACATGCACGTTTTCCTATTACGGCGGAAAACAAAACACATGCATATATGTATATGTCGCAAATGTGAGTATGCGTGTGCATGCTCGCGTCTGTGGGTGTCTCTCTATTTTTTTTTGTATCTTGTTTTTGTCTCTCTCCCTCCCTGTTTATGTGTGTGTGTGTGTGTGTGTGTGTATGTGTGTGTGTATTTGCGCACTCTCGCTTGTGTTTGCACAATTGTCCTTCTATCACGGAACGCTTGCACGTCACACCATAAACGCATGATATTCATACTTACATTCATCACAATTTTCACTGCCGGTGATAATACATTTTCCTTTTTTGTTGCGTGTCCAATTCTCTTGGCACGTAAGACAAAAACCATTACTACTGCATGTGGCACAACCGGTCGGACACGGTATGCATTCTTGACGTTTTTTATCGGCATAGAAACCATCGGGGCAACTATTTAAGCATTTACCATCGTGGGCAAAACGACCGGAACGGCATGTGATGCATTGTGATTCCGCGGAACCATTGCAAGTGGCACAAGATGAATGACATGAAGCACAGCTGTAAAATGAAATAAAAAAGAAAATGGCAATCTCTTACAAATAAAATACATATACAAAAAGACAAAACGCATTTCATATATGAATATGAGAGCGGCATAAAGAAAAAAACATTCATATATAGCTAAAGAATGAGAGAGCTATGCTCAAGTAAAACGAGGATACTTGGGCCGACTGAATGTTAACCATTTAAACTAACGATACAAAAATCGTACATATCTCATAAGCTCTAAAACGTATCGGTTTAACGCGTATATCTGAAGTAAAGTTTTATTGCTTTTACATCAATATACGCGTTTGGTTTTTCATTACTACTAAGCCAAAAAAAAAAAAAAAAAAATTTGCGTAAAATTTTTCGATATGTTTTCGCTCCTCATGGTTTTATCAACCATCTACACATAGATAATGTTGGTGCTTATAAATAATTCAATGAATGGAAAGTGGTCTTGGAATTGTCTTTCATTTTCAATTTCAAGTGAGCAGGGCAGTCAGAAGATACATACGTACATTTAATATGTTTAACATTAAAAATGGCTAACGATATAATGAATGCAATATGCTTGTTCTTGCTATTGCGGTAATGAAACAATACAAAAAAAAAAAAAACAATGAAAAAAAAGAGGAAAACCAACAAACTGTGCAGACAGCCAAATGGAAAGAAATTTAATGTAGTGTCACAGCCAAATAGTAGGCAACAAAAAATAGAAATTCATAAAAGTACTAGTATATATGGTAATATATATATATGGTAATATATATATATATATATATATATATATATATAGAAAATTCTAACAACAACACCAACACGAATACCATAATAGAATTGCAAAACTGTTTGCCAAATATAACTAAACACATCTTTCGACGAGCATTTATGTATGTACAGGATGGCAAACATTTAAAATTATTTAAAATGTTTAATATCTATTCTCTTGGAAATCAAGTTAGGAGACATTTATTTGCTATCTCATTCACACTCCTCCAATTTTACCTATGCATATGTAAGATTTTATTAAAAAACGAACAAAAAAAAAAAAAGAGAAAAATTTAACATTTGCCAGAAAATATGTCTTTGTGCAAAGCAGCAAAGAGGAGAAAAAGAAAAAAAAAAACGGAATTTTCAAAGCTCAAGTGTCTGCATAATGGAGCGTATATGAGTATGTTTGCGTAGAATGCAAAACTACTACACTAAATATAAAAAATTCTATTTCATTTTATACAAAAATATAACTTTGAATACTCGAAGACTCAAGTATGCTGAAACATGTAAAAAGTTATTCTCTCTTTTTCTATTCTCATTTTCTCTATCTTTTTCGCATTCACTCTCTCGTTCTCTCTCATAATATCTAAACATTGTATAACGCTTTAGCATATACATACATATATACATAATATCTGTACTTTGTGACTACGGTTTCGCAAGATGATCGTTGGCTTTAAATTTCATGTAAACGTACCCTCATGCACTTACAGAAATTCCATTTATTCAATGCAATTTGCATTTGTTATGTTAAAAACTACACGGATAATATAACGAACTATCTCAATATATGCATTTTTGTGCTTTTCCTTTTCCTTTCTTCAAATTAGATGTAATGTAAAGAGTATGCAGAAAAGAGTTCACCTTCAAAAGCATATCTCAACGGCTACAAGAAAAAAAGACAAAATGGCGAAACAAAACAAAAAACAACAACAATTGAAATAGATATTAATAATGTTTGAAAATTATGTGTAATTTGCATACGCCTGGGATGCGACTAAAACTGATGACCACCTTATCGCCTTTTCTTATAAATCGTTCGAAATAAGATGACTTAGCTAAAGTAGCGTGCAAGTCGGTTTCGATCACATTATCTTGGTATTTACTTCATTTTCTTCTACATAATATAATTCATGTTTATTAAAGCTCAATAGAAAAGTCATTTCTAATTCGCTTATCGTACTATGATAACCGAAATATCACATCATTCACAAAATTCCCGAGAAAATGAAAGAAAACACATTTTTTGTTTGCAGGAGTGACACCATCAGCTCAAGATTGCTTTAACAACTCAATGCCTTTTCTATAAAGAACGATTATTCGCTTTAATTTTTTCAATGACCTCACCATTTATTTTAATACCTTTTCTTTGAGGCAAACCCTTAGAAGTACTTGGGTGTTGCCATAGTTGCTGTTATAAGTGTTTGACTGTTCTCTTGCTACTACTACCACTGCGAACATAAAATTTATAAAAATCACAGTAGAGAGGAAGGGAACAAGATGAGTGCCATGGATCCATACAGATACATGTATGCGTAAGAGGTGCGTACATATAAAATTAAAATTTTTGTATCGCTCGGGCAAAGAAAAAATGCTCTATGCGAAAACTCTTTATTTGGCTCAAAACTCGTTATTAGAAAAAATAATTTTTGCCCTTTGATATATGCTGGTATTATGGCAGCTTATTGTTGTCAGAGGTCCAAGCTACAAGCGGCACACAATTTCACGCATGTATGTACTGTACGCGTCGTATTAGACGCCCATCTATGGCCTAATTCCGGTTTCATATTTACTAAAGTGGCAAGCAGGCAAAGAGATTGCCTGCGAAATGTTGCAAACCTATAGATATGCAGGGAGAGGACCAAATTTATTTATTATAATTAGTTGTAGTTGTTTTTCGAAAATGGATTAGCACAATTATACTGTACTGAATTGTAACTTCTCCAACTAAACGGACCATCTTTAAATATGTCGTAACACTCTAAGTAATCACAGTCAAGAGCTGTAAAGAGTAAAGAGTGAAATTATTTTTAATGCTTTGATAGATTGAGTTGAGTATCAAAACAAATTCCAATTTTTAAAAACCATAACACTCTTTTCCCTTAATCCTAAGAATATTGCTGGTGAACCGTGAGGGATCAAGAAGTAGCCAGACGACATCCAAAATGCCCAGTATTCGTGGCAGCTTGGTGGTAAGCCACCTAAGCGTAGTGTATCATGCGTAGTGTATCAAGGTCACCAAACATAAGAATTGGTGCAATTGAGTTGAAAAATCGGGCGCATGCTGCGGCTAAAGACGGACGACGGACAATATTTTGAATAAAATTACTTAGAACTTTTTCCTTATCATAAACTCGCAATTTAAGTGCAAAATATTCTCGCGCCCCTAATATTTGCATATGTAAATGCGTAAAAATTTGTACGTAAGTATATGTAAGTATATGTACATAACTACATTATTTATATATTATATTAACATCGTTTAATTGGCCGAAATACATAGAAAGGCCTGAATACGCTTATAATCGAAAATTTCTCATTAACATCATAAATTATTTGATTACATATGCTGAGATTATATAATTCAATCCCTTTCTGGGAATTATTTACACTCCAAATTAGATCAATGCTACAACACTACAGGAACGAGAGAGAGAGAGAAAATCTACAGAAATAAATATTGTAAAGTACATACATATAGACTACGCATAAGGTAAAAAAAATAAATTAAAAAAAAAAATTAGTTTATATTTCAGTTGCTGTTAATGTGATTCATTTTATACATACGCTAAGGAACTTTTACTGCTACGCAGTTTATATATCTATATATGGAGCTTGTATATAATTTGTTTTATTAATTTTACATTTATGTACTAACACAACTACGGCTATTAATTATTGATTATACGTTACTCCAAAATTAAGGATATTCTAGAAGCAGAGGAACATGGACATGAGTAACGTGATAGTGAAACGCAGAAAGGTTTATCAAAACCTTCCAAAAACCTCAGAGAACCTAAACTTGACGAATTCAGTATTAGAGCGACCAGTTACAAGCTAGAAGCATATGAGCATTGATAAATTTGTTTGCTTGTCTTGTTAAGCATTCAAGACGTCACGTAATGATTTTTTGCATATTTTTTCTTATCCACTTGTCAACATAGTCGAGCTTGGGAGAAATCTTTTAGAGCCAACTTTTGGGTATTTTGATAACACGTTTTGGGGCATCCTGTGTTATTTCAATTATACGATTTCCGCTTCCTTACTGCGCTTGTTTTGCTTAAGCACTAAATTTTATTTACAAGCGGCGAATGTCTTTTCCTCGTAGAAGTAATCGAGCATATGAAAATAATATATATATATATATATACTATATCTATATATATACCATATTTGTATATATATATGTATTCTTAATTTTTTATATATCGTATCATTGTGCTTTTTATATACTATACTATATATATATACAATATTGAGAGTAATAAAGCCATTACGGTCCATATGTGCATCTCTTGCAAATTTTTTCCTATTTAAAATAACATTCTAATGCAATAAATAACTTATAATTTAATTACATAATTCTCTGCTTTCAAGGAGAAATTTTCTAATTAAATTTGCTATCGAACCGTACTGTATATAACTACTAAGTACAACAACATATATTGTACACATGTATATATGCATATATATACATATAAACAACAACGCGCGCATATATATATATATATATATATATATATATATATATATATATGTATGTATGTCTACACACACTACTGCTTTCGGTTTGAACATTAATATCCGATTCAATTAACGTTTGAAATTACAACGAGTAACATGAAAGCGAACAATCGTAAATACTTCAAGTGTCAATTGCCCTCCTATCTTTAACATGGCAGTGATGTTAATATATATCGATATACATATAACATGTAAATGCCCCCAAGGCATGAGCGCTTTAAAGTCGAGATACATTTCCCTAACCCACAAAGTCAATAGGAAACTGTACGATGAAATTAAATTGCACTGTGAATTTTCTCTGCCGTCGTATTGGTTTAAGTTGAAGCCACCATTAAGTGCATAAGTGCATAACAGATATGCAGTGAATGCATCAGTGTTGGCGAGCATGCATAACTGGAATGCTAGAGCCTTCGAAGATATAAAAGACGATAATAAGATACGAGATAATGATGAAGGGTACTATCTGCACGGTCGTATACACACATACACACAGA